TTACCATCAGCGCTGCAAATTGCCGCAGAATGGCTCGATTGAAATCAAGGAAAATCAAGGAACAAATCATAGGAGTAATAACGATAATACTGATAATTACTATAATGATAACAACACGAAAACGATAGTGATAATACGAATAATGAATAGCAAACTTATTGTATAAAACAATATCAGGTAACCAAATCATATCAGAAGGCACATATAACACGTCAACACCTCCATAATCAGCTGGATTCCATTTCAATTTGTAATCCATCCAGCTCTTAAATAATAATTGATATGCAAGTGAAATAATAGCATTTGATAATTGATAATAGAACCAAATAACAAGATTATTTATAAGAATTATAAGAAAACGTACATGTTGAAGCCAAACGTTAGTAGTCATGATTTGATTTTTTTCGTGCTGAAAATAGCATCATCTCATCAATCATAAACACAAAACNTTATCTCGCACATTCGTTGGTGTATATAGATGAGAATGTTTGAAAATCAAGAACATCTAACATTAAACAATTGTGAACATATTGAAAACTGCGCTATGAAATCTAGAGATGAAAAGGGAAGAGACCAGTAAATCTACTGATACATGACTAATAAACTCTTAGTCAAATAAATAACTGTCACATGAACAGACCAGTATAAGAATAATAAGTAATTCAAGCAAACAGAAGGAGAACAATTGAAAATTTGCTAAACAAAACAATAAAACGAACAAAACTGACCACATCGAGTAACTGTGATAATTTCAGTTTGAATCTTACAATCATCGTTTCACTGTTATTATCGACCGGTCTCACCAATTTATTGTAATCGGCTAGAAGATCCTCAAAAAGACGACTTGCATCTTTATTCGCCGAGACTCGATCGATAAGGCAACACATCCAAATCATTAATATTGAAACGATTAAACTCAAGAAATGTTCTTGATGTGAAGTACGATATTTATAACAATGATGGTACTGAAGTGGCGGATGTTGTTTCTCGAGCAATAAATATTTCAATCGCA